TATAATGATAAATAACTAATATAAAATTTTATTACTGTAAATATAAGTTGCTAAGATATGAATTTCGCATACAGTTTTTATATATATTTACAATTATATCATATAAGTTTGTATTCTGATTAGTTGATCATTATTTTTTCACTGTTTATGTTAAGTAAATCAATAGTATGTGTTTATTTTTGTTTTAAATTCTATTCTATTTCTCACAATGTATATTACAGCTCTTTATTAGTAACTATATGGACAATATTTAATTTTTGCATTTGATTGTATTTATATATTAATTTATTTCATTTCTGCTTCTTCTATTTCATGTAGTTGATGTTCCTCTTCCTCACGTGTAGTTTTTACAGCACATACAACCAGGGAGAAACTTTTCTCACATTCTTCTGTAATATTTCTCACTGTACAAATAAAAATTTAAAATAATATAGTTAAAAAATCAAATATATAATCACTTTTCCTATAGATATTGTATTTTTATAACAATTATAACCTTCTATAAGCATTATACAAGCGTAAATACATTAAACGTACATAACAATTTTTTTTTGTAATTCCTCATTTCTTATTAATTTTAAAGTAATTTATACAATATATCAAAGAGGTAAAGTCTATATATCCTAGAAAGTGAAAATTGTAAAATTTTTTAAAATTTATTATAAACTATAAATAATGTGTCACTTGTACAAGAAATTATTTAAAAAAGTATATAATATCTCTTTCTTAACATTAATTTTGCAACTACATATTGAATTTCGGAAATTGTTCAAAACAAAAACGCTGTCGTGTGAACATTTTTGTTGAACTGAACAACCTAATAATATATATAATTCAAGATATATCTTACCTTCTTTCAAGCATTTACGCGCAATTTTATGAGCAATAACTTCTTCAGGATGATCAGCATACTCTACATTTATTCTTACATGAACTTGCGCTTCCTTAATGTTTGAATCTTCCATCTAACATTATTAAGAAGAAATTATAAATCAAAGTAAAATATGTGAATTTATTTTGCGCAATTTAAGAGCTATGTAAATTAAAATATTGTTATTAAATTAAGTATATTATAGCATAATATTTTTACTAACATCTTACAATAACATCAACTTTTGTATAATTTTATCATTAAACATATATGCAGCAATAAACATAATGGAAAGGCCCTCATTATGAGATATCGAGTTCATTTTGAATAAATGCTAGAAGTCTATGGGCCCAATTTAAAAAAATAATAGGTCATTTTGAAGCAAATTTAATTAAGATACCATTATATAAAATTTAATTCAAATTCCATTTTTTTTAAATTAAAGAAATGTAAAAAATCAAAGCAAAGTCAAAAAATTATGTTCCTAATATTGCTCCGAGAAATCCATAATAAAACGCAAAGTATATCAGTTATTGCAATTAAAAAACTTTATTTCATGTTACTAAAATGTAAACAAACACAGCCAGTGTGCGTGAAAAATGAGCATGCGGTAGATTATACCCAGAACTCGTCTTTAAGTAGTTGAAATCAAGCATCGCAAAAATAGGCACTCGACGTTTATTCCGATTGTCCTTTTTATTATTGTACATAACATTTACTCTTTAGTATTGATTTCCACTACAACATAGGAGCATGGATTATTTTATATTAGAAATATCCTGGCTATCTCATATTACGATTTTCACGCCTTCTAGTTTTACGATCATCAAATCTAATTTCTGTAATTAAACAATTCAACATATCCCGTATTTTTCTATTAGTACGATCTTATTCCATCACTACATGAAGAATTTATTGCCAAATATTTATTTGTTAAATAATAAACAAGATTCATCTGAATGAAACTTGAAGATATCTGAGAAATTTTAAAATCTTTTTTTACAATGACTACAGGCATGATCTAATAATAAATTTTCTACTAAATAATTTTCAATCCAAGGGCAATAAATTCATGGTGGAACCAATAGATAGCGTTTATTAATTTAGCAGAACGCCGCTATCTCATATTAGGCGCATATCTCACAATAGGAGGCTTTCCTCTATGTGTATAAGCAACAATATGTGTTATTAATTGCATTCATAATTGTTACATTAGAAATTAAATTTCGAATAATTTAAAATTTTATTATTTATTATGATATATATTAATCTTGCATTGATGGACATGATATACATATAAAATATATACGTATAGCATATTTAAAAACACTTACTAAATTCTGTCTTTTTAAGGCACACGCAATCCAGCAGCCTATTCTTCTTGTTTTTTCTTTATTTTCGGGTTTGGTAGGTAAGTCAGTTATCATGTCTCGGGGACTGTATACATCAGCTAAAAAATAAGAACAATTAATGTAAAAGTCAGTTTTTTGAAAAAAAAAAGTTTAAATAAACATTACAAGATTGTAAGGAAAGTATTAAAATTTAGTAAAACAAAATTTGAAAATTATACTAAAATATTGATTAGAGAATTTATAGATGACGATCACAAAGATCTCCAATAATATGTTTTTGCAGTAATATGCAATAATAATTAGATATAACTTACCATGAGTCACATTATTTTCAATCCGGCAAGCTTCAACGTCATCCTCAGTAGTTTCTATTATATTTTTAAAATTTTTTAGTTCTATTGAGCTAGACAGCTGAAACTTACAAAATATTTGTTTAAATTATTTTATATAGTTTTTAATATATATTATTATAAATATCTCTGTTATAATTTATTGAAATAGTTGAAGTAGTTTATTGACAGAATATTTACAGCAATTATTAAAATACAGACGGAAAGTACGAGACTTTTCATTTTTATGCAGGTAATATCTTCACTGCAATAAGCGCAATTAATGAAAATAACTGTTGTTACGTCGTATATATACTAGTTCACTCTTCGACAGATAACATACATAGGTCAAAAGAAACAAGATTATAGATCATCAATTATATAACGTTAATAGTGACAATTTGCTATATGACAATGTTTTAATACTACTTTATGATGTAAATTGATATTGATAAGTATAAAAATTAAGTATATAAAAGACTGAACGAATATTGAGTATAAAAGATTAAATTAACGGTAAAAGTCTAAAATACACGACATCTTAATTTGCTTTTTTGAGAACACCTTGTATACGCGTTGAAGCCTTCTAATATCGTTTTTATATCATCAGTAATACAAAAAATGTTTAGATTAGAGCTTCAAGATCATGGATTATGTAAATTGAAATACATACACAAAAAAGAAAATATAATGTTAAATAACTAATACAAAATTTTATTATTGTAAATATAAGTTGCTGAGATGTGAATTTCGCATACAGTTTTTGCATATATTGACAATTATCTCATATAAGTATGTTTGTATTCTGATTAGTTGATCATTATTTTTTCACTGTTTATATTAAGTAAACCAATAAATAGTATGTATTTATTTTTGCTTTTTTTAAATTCTAGAATTTTTTTAGTTTTCCAAGTGTGGCGTGGTTCTCGGTTGATTCATTTGTATATTAATTCTTTTTCTTTTAGGAAACAATAAAATGTATTTTTCTATATTCTTTTTGATGATCATTTTTACATGTTTTTATTTGGCAAGTACGATCATTTTGGTCTCTCAAACTATTACTTCAAAATTACCGCGGTGAAAATGTTTAAATGGTTGCATTCCCTCAATAGAAATTCAATACTACATTACTGGCTTTCAATACTAAATAATTATTTTCAGTATTAAAAGTATTGTTAATAATACTGTGCGTGCGTGCGTGCGTGCGTGCGTGCGTGCGTGCGTGCGTGCGTGCGTGCGTGTGTGTGTGTGTGTGTGTGTGTGTGGAATAATGTACTTCTTTCAAACTATTAAAAAAATTATTTATATTTTTATAAATAGATCGTTCTAAATACATAATAAATTTTATTCAAGTATGTTTTTTTATTATGCATTAATTTTATCATGTATAAATTAGATATGAAAGTTTAAAGTTCTCTGAGAAGATTTTTTAATCATGTGCATAAAAAAGAATAAGAAGTATGTTACATTTTAGATTTTACTAAACCAATATATAGTTAATCAATTAGAAATTATTATATACTTTATATAGTTTCAATCACCTTGCATTAAATTCCAGGTATGTCTAGACATAAAATGTATTTGATCATATTTGTACAAATGTGAACATATAGAGATTTACTTAAATTAAATTTGACATAAATTAAAATCAATGGTTATATTTGCATTACCAATTTTTGGGCCTTGGTAGGATTTCCACATAAAAATCTATTTTGTGTATGTTTGTAATTTCAGGTAATTAAGAATTTATCCGGAATTTTATTAAATTATATCTGATTAAATTATACATATGTATATGATTTTTATTTGGAAATACATACTAATGGTTCAAACAAAAATTTCCATTTTTAATATGTTTAATCTGTTTAATGTATTGCACAGTAGAAGTTAAATTATTATCTCTACTTGAAAATTTATTACTAATAAACCCCGAAAATAATTCGGAAATCCAGATAGAGTATGAGAGCAATTTAGGAAATCCATCCCTACTGAAAAAAATCATGTCACAACGTTACATGATTTATATGTTTTAATTATATGATGAAATCATATAATTAAAACATATAAATTATGTAATGGATTATCCCAAATCAGTACGTAATTTTTTAAAATGATGTAATTTGAAAAATCATATGATATTAAAAATAATTTTATCCATCATGTGATTTTATAATTATTATTTTAAAGAATTTTAAAGAATTGAATAATTAAAATAGAAGAAGAAAGAACACATTATCATATAACTTTTTAAAATACGTAATTTTAAAATTATGTACTGATTTGGAACAATTCGTTACATGATTTACATGTTTTAATTTCATGATTTCATCATGTAATTGTGTGACGTGATTTTTTTCAGTAGGGATGTTCATAGCAATCGAACTCTACGTCTATTCTATATTTTCACTTATATACAAATTTCCATGTATTAACGATTTAAGGTTAAATATGCCAATCCCATTTGTACCATAGTTAATTGGAAAATACCAGTATTTCCAATTAAGAGTGGATGATTAGGATATATTTGAAATTTCAAGTGACTTTGAAATATATTCACTTTTACAGACGAGTTAGTTTGTAAATGTAAATTTTATTTATGAATTTGATTATATCTGGTTATCCACTGCACAAAACCGCATTTGGCCAAATATGTGTCAACTCTTATTGGAACTTATTTGGAATTTAGTGCAGGGCATGGTGGAATTCCACCATGATTTCAATAGGGAATGAGCATTATTACTTCTTCTGTTTTTAGTAAACTTAATACTTTTAATAAACTTAAATTACTTTTAATAAACTTTTATTACTCGCTTGTGCATCACATATAAAAAATGTCATATATTATTTTTTACAATGCTTATTTGTTTTCCATCATATACATAGATCAACAGTCACTTTTAAATGCATAATTCAAGCGACAAATATAAAAGAGATGCAAAGAGATTTACGGAATCCTATATCAATTGTAAACATAAACTTATCAACTATTCACATTTGTCGTCAATGTAGAATTATTTGATGTAAAAAGAACTCGATACTTAAATATTAATGGAATTATTTGTGATCTGCTAAAATTAAAAAAATATTGACACAGAGCAATCAGTTGGGATACTGATAAACACTGTTGTCCAAATTGTGGAAGGCCATTTGTTCGTCGATCCATTGACGACCATAGGCTATATTAGCATAAACGCCGGGAGTTCCATTCTCGCCACAGCCAAGACCCCAGGCTACGATGCCAGCTTGAACGTATCTAGCCGGATCATTACTTAGCGGGCACACGAGGGGACTTCCACCGTCGCCCTGCAACGAAAAGATTTAAAAAAAAATCACTTTTATCTAATCACATGCAAAATAGAAAAAAAAAAGATTTCTTCACAGAAAATTGTAAACAAAAGATCATACATATATCTAGAGCTTTGTTTTGAGAACTTAGTGATACACACTTACAAATCACAAAGGAGCAGGAAACTATTTAGTTTTAAAAGTGCAATTATAAATCACGAAATGTAAATAAGGCAAATTAATGTGTACACCTAATGTATATTAATAAAAAATTATATCAATATTATAAAGATATATTCTATATATTCCTCATATTTGATATTGTTTTAATACCAACATTTCTGATAATAAACTTGATATCATAATAAATTAAATGTTTTTGATCTTACTTTTGTTCATTCTTGCACTATCTTTTTAAATATAATTGTTATAAAGTATAATTATAGGAGGAAAGAAGTTAGAAAACATTCAACGCTGAGTTCATCAAGCGGATTTTATAAGAATAGGTTCTTCAACTTTGATTTCTTGATTCGAAGGAAATTTGAAGATCTCTATAATTTTGTATCTCTGAATCGTTAAAGTGTTGTATACCGTCACATGAAAATATGACTTTATGGAATTTTTTGAGCTTAAAGAATTTTTGTGAAACATATTTCAAATTTACCTTGCAGGTATCTTTTCCTACTTCTCCACCCGCGCAGATAAAACTTTTATCTAGTAGAAAGTATTTTCCCAATCTGGTGGTACGCATAATGTCTTGACACGTATTATGTTGTACTATAGGAAGCTCCACCCTCTTTAAGATCACTTGGTAACGTCCCTCTTTGCCTGTAATTAAATTTCACTAATTAAAATCTATAATACATTATATTATATTGTTATATTATTACATTATTATATAATTATTTCAAAATAGTGAAAAGGTTTTAAAGAAATAAATCAAAGAGATGAGATGCCTATAAGAACACTATATAGCTTTTCGTATATAAACTTTCATGAATCTAGATTAAATTTATTGTAAACGTTTCGATTCACAATTTTGAGTTATCTTCAATAAATAATCGTCTATTCAAAGATTACATGTTCACGCAAATCATTGTAGAAATTACTTATGGCATGTACTGTGACACTAAAATCAGCATTATTGAATCAAATATTATTATATCATTACTATTATTTAAATATTCAGGTCGATCTATATCATTATTAACCGATTGTTAAACAGAGGCAATTATTTAAAAAAATTAATATATTAAGTTAAAGATATTGCTGAGAGATTCAATCGATCAATATTTATTTCTTTACATATTGTAACATGCAAAAGACGTACCGAATATGTCTTTTCCCCATCCGCTAGCGAAACATCTGGATCCATCGAAGTTTGCGTTTATTTCAGCGAGACATACGACATCAACATTCTCCGCGTACTCAACTGGAGTTTTCAGGATCAGGATGGCGTAATCGTTGTAGAGTGCACCGGAATGGAAGCCTTCGTGAACCACGACTTTTTCGACTTCGCGGTCTTGATGTGGATAGATTTCGTTCTTCGTCTGCGTATCCCATTCTCCCGCACGAACTTTCAGCTCCTGTGGCTGCTTCCTATTTGATCGGAATGCACTGTTAATCTTCCACTAGCAATGTCCTTTCCAGACGTAGTTGATTTTTTTATTATGAATTTTAAGAAAATGAATACATAGCGGGATTCAGTATCATCTTCTAAAAAAACTTTGTAGTGTTGAGATTGTGTGTGTACGACGATGCCATTATCCAATTGTTTGTTTCGTTAGTAAGGCCCAGTTTCACAACTCACGATTAATTCTTAATCGAGTTCAACTTATTCATTATCTCTTTTCAATTCTAGAATTGGAAAGAGGTGAGAAATAAGTTGAACCTCTGTTAAGAATTTATCGAGAATTGTGAAAATGAGTCAAAGACAAATAAAAGTACATACTCATGCTCTTAGCAACCCGTATTGCAGACAACATAAAATTTTATGCAAATAAAAATTTGGA